TGGCGAAGGACCCAGCCATAATTATACAATTGTGGGTACCGACGGAGTCGCGAAATGCGTGACGAGAGCTCCGGGGTATCCCGCATGGGGCGCCCAGATCAGCCAGAACAAAGTGTGCCAAAATGAACGGGTGGCGGCATGCGGGCGCAGCCACTGGGGCCTCAGGTGGTTTCCCCTTTGGGGCCACGAAGCGTGTGAGGGGGTGTGCCAAAATGAAGGGGGTTGCGGCATGCGGGCGTAGCCACTAGGGTCTTAGGCGGAGCTCCCTTTGGGACCACGAAACGCGCGAGGGGGTTGTAAAAGTAAAGGGGTGGCGGCATGCGGGCGCAGCCACTGGGGCCTTCGATGGAGCTACCTATGGGGCCACAGAACGTGTGAGAGGTGTGCCAGATTGAGGGGGTGGCGGCATGCTGGCGAAGCCACTGGAGCCCTAGGTGGAGCTACCTATGGGGCCACGAAACGTGAGAGGGGTGTGCCAAAATGAAAGGGTGGCAGCATGCCGGCGCAACCGCGAGGGCCTCAGGTGGAGCTCCCTATGGGACCACGAGATGTGCGAGGGGCGTGCCAAAGTGAGGGTGCGGCGGCATGCGGGCGCAGTCACTGGGGGCTTAGGTGCAGCTCCATACGGGACCACGAAATGTGGGTGTGCCAAAATGGGGGGGGGGCGGCATGCGGGCGCAACCATTGAGGCCTTAGGTGTAGCTCCCTACGGGGCTACGAAATGTATGAAGGGGTGTGCCACACTGCACGGGTGGCGGCATGCGGGCGTAGTCACTGGGAGCTTAGGTGCAGCTCCATACGGGACCACGAAACGTGTGAGCGGTGTGCCAAAATGAGGGGGAGACGGCATGCGGGCGCAGCCGCTGGGACCTCAGGTGTAGCTCCCTATGGGGCAACGGAGCGTGTGAGAGGTGTGCAAACATGAGGGGGGTGACGGGAGGAGGAGGAGGAGGAGGAGGAGGAGGAGGAGGAGGAGGAGGAGGAATAGAGGAGAGGAGAGGAGTGGACCCGGGGACCGCCTCCCTCTTCAAAACGAGGACC